GAATTATGTAATCCATTTTAAATACCACTTCAATTCCTCATGTTAGAGTTATAAAGTAATTGCAAATTACTGTCTCTTCACCTTCTCCCCACAAACAGTTTGAGCTTGATATAGAAGTTCTTCAGGATTAAGGGAGGGCATGTATAAGATCCTTTCCTTGATGTCCATAATGAGGATGGAAAGATAAGGAGTCAGGGAAGAATTGGCACTTGAACGTAGTTGAAATGAGGTGTCTAACTTATGTTGGTCTATCCCTTTTGTCCTTTTTCTCAGTTTCTTTTTTTTTTTTTTTGAAGAGAAAATGGTCCCATTCAGTCATTAGAGCCCTGTTTTTCTCATCCAGAATATTATTATTATATATATATTTTTTCTTGGCTGTGCTGCACGGCATGCGGGATCTTAGTTCCCTGACCCAGGGATCAAACCTGTGCCCCCTGCAGTGGGAGGGCAGAATCTTAACCACTGGGCCTCCAGGGAAGTGCTTCCTCATCCAGAGTAATACTTTGTTCAGAGCTGTTTTGAAGTTTATACAAAATTAAATGAAGTATGTGGAAATGCTTGGCACATAGTAGGTAGACATTTAGTAAAACCTAATTTCCTTCTTTTTCATTCAGTGAGACTTGGCTATTTTTAGGCATCTCTTCCTAAGATTTTGTGGATATTTACTTCTGAAAGTTTGCAAAACAAATGCAGTAGGGCCTTCTCATCCCCACTCAATAAAATAAAAATTTGTAATATTGAACATGACATTTCAAAGTACAACTGCTGGAGAATTTTACTCTTCCTTTTTGAGAATTCACAGATCTAGTGAAGAGTTGACATGTACAGAGTTAACTAAACACAAGATGAGCTATGTCCAGTCCTGTAATACCAAAGTGGTATTCAAAAGCATGAATGAACAATAGCGTTAGCTCTACCAGGAGAAATTTGAAAGAGGAGCTTGTTTATCATAATGAATATCTAAATTGGTGTATGTGGGGAGTTATTTTTGAGTACGGACTCTTCTGGTGTTCCTTTAGGGTATCAGAGGCCTTGTTTCCCCCCAATACTATAATTTGACAGAAAACTGAGAGACAAAAAGCTTACGTTTGTGTATGGGCTTGAATTTTGGTTTCATGTATTTTATTTAATTCTCACAATAGCCCTGTGAGATAAGTAGAGGCACCTTGAGATTAAGCGACCTGCCCCAGGTTACCTGGCTAGCAGGTGAACTTCAAGTCTGTTGACTTGAAGTCTAGGCTCCCGTTTACTGTACAGGAGGTTTACAGAAGGAAAACTTCCACTATCTCAAGACCAGACTTTTGATAGTCTTGAGCAATGAGACGTGAAAACACATAGAACTCAAGTTCAACAAATATTTATTTGGTCCCTTTTGGTTTTGCAGTACGCGGGCCTCTCACTGCTGTGGCCTCTCCCGTTGTGGAGCACAGGCTCCGGACGCGCAGGCTCAGCGGCCATGGCTCACGGGCCCACCCGCTCCGCGGCATGTGGGATCCTCCCAGACCAGGGCACGAACCCGCGTCCCCTGCATCGGCAGGCGGACTCCCAACCACTGCGCCACCAGGGAAGCCCTATTTGGTCCCTTTTGTTACTTGCTTTGAAACTAAAATGTTTTTTTCCAACTTCATTTAAAGAGTATTGTGATGAGATGTTGGTAGCTTACTAAGACACAGTGCTGAAGAAATGCTAGAAGTTGCAAGGAGATATGAGTGCAGAGTGAATGGTGACCGGGCACCCGGGACCTGCTGAGGCGGAGAGCGAACCTATCTGGGAAGAATGAGAAAACCAAAGGGCTCTGCAGAGGGAGGGGGAGGACACCACAAACTAACTGCAGCTCTGCTTCCTACCCGTAAGGAGAGCTCTGAGGACAGGTATACATGAATATCGCAACTCTGAATTTCATAATAAAGGGGAAAAGTGAGAAATTTTTCAAGTTTAAGATTACAACTTGGGCTGACTTAGGCCGATCACATCTGTATATGAGGCATGTACAGATGTTGATACGGAGTTTGAGTCACTAAGTCAGGATGGTGAATTGTGTTCTCCGTACTTAAGATGTTGAAAAGTTTTCTATGGGAAGGGTTAAAATCTGCCATTTAAACTTAATATTGATTGTTCCAAGAACTTACACAGAATAACTAGTTTCTCTCATGTTAGGGGCATTACTAAACAAGGAGTCTGCACTGATACTACCAATTACCGTTTCTTTCATGAGGACTTTCTGGCCACAAGGCAGGGCATGCGGGATCTTCCCGTCGACGGGCCCCCTGCAGTGGAAGCTCAGAGTCTTAACCACTGGACCACCAGGGAAGTCCCTCATGAGAACTCTCAAAGGAGGCTGGGAGCGAGTGGCATAGACAGAAATTGGGAATGTGAATATACTCTACTCTTAATACACTCTCCCTTAAATATTTGTTATAGATGTTCCTGCAGACTCATACCGTGTTTCAGTATGGTTTTTTAAATAGACTCAAAAAAATGTTTAAAGTGTGGTTCTGATCATGTTAGACCTCTGTTCAAAAGTATGCAGTGGTTCCCATTGTCTGCTAGTTGCTAATAATAATACTGGCCAGTCTACATTGAGAATTTGCTCTGTTAGGCACTACTGTAAGCTTTTGACATTTATGAGTTCACTGAGTTTTTACAATAACCTATACAGATGCTTTTATTATTTACATTTTACAAACAAGTCATAAAGATTTTAAATAAATTGTCCAGGGCACATAGTTGGCAAGTAGCAAATATAATATGAACTCAGTAGTCTACTGTCGAAGTCCTTACTTACCCTTGTCTACAAAAAACAAACCAACTAACCAGTTTTCCTAAATTAGGATTGAAGATTCTGATCCCAGTCTGCCTTTCCAGCCTTAGTATTGATGGATGACCAGGAGACACAAAGGCCATCCTGCCTACTGGCTTCTATGTTCTTCTGATTTCATCCAGTCCTTTGCTAACTGTGTGAGTTTGCTCGTGTGAGTTTCTCTCATTGGGAGCCTCCCATCCTTCTTTTTTACCCATTCATAGCCAAGCCCTGGCTTTGTAGAACTATGGTCATTTGCTTATATCTTTCCACTAAAGTGAAGATTCCTTGAGATTCATGATAAGCTGTTCATCGATGCACCTAGTATAGTGCCTTGTACATAATATGTATTAAATAAATGAATATATATACACACACACATATATTTACATAAAAAGGAATGTGGCACAGTCATTTTTAGCCTGCTGGTTCTCACAACACACCAGGGGTTCTTTTGAAAGAAAACAAGTAAAAACCAGTGCACCAGGGTTGTACCCCAGACCAAATAAACCACTTGCTTCGGAAGGAAGGTGGGGCCTGGGCATCACTGGTTTGAAGCAGACATGGTTCTGTGTGCCACTAGGGTCGAGAATCTCAGATCAAGCTAAGTTTGCTTGGCTTTTGCAATGAGAAGGTGGAGGCTCAGAATGGATTTGGCTACTTACGCTTGAGAAGTCGATTTGTGTTACCATATCTCTTGTAGCCACCAATTTTGTAGGAAATTATTTGTTACACCCTAGCAGATTTGCTGTAACTATATCATAAGACTGTGATTAATCACTACATAATAGCTTGTACCTACTGGAAAAGTGTTCATTTGTTGGGAATGCTTCAAACATCTTTTAGATAAACTGTTATTTGCTTAAAGTAGTGGTATGATCTGTGACTTTTTATTGAGATGTGTTGGATAACTTGTCAGATTTCCCAGGGAGGAAATTACCGAAGCTGAATAGCTAGTTGTCTGGTCTCCTGTTGTTAACTGTTTTCAATAACTATCCTGTTTAGAACATGAAGTGCCCATAGTATGCATAATATTGCCCTATGTCAGTCTAGGGATAAAAAAGTTTTTTTTAAAGTCATTTTACATTTTTTTTTTTTTTTTACTCACTTTGTTTCATTTCATCCTCACAACTGCTCTAGGAAGAAAAGAGCAGGAGTCATTAGCCCTGTTTTCAGATGGAGATATTGAAGCTCAGTCACTTTAGTTCATAGATTTAGTAAGTGATTAAGCTGGTATCAAACCTGTTTCCTTCCACCTACCCCAGTGCCTTTTTCACTACTCCATACTACATCTCACAGTCGGTATTGTGTAAGGCTCTAAGTGCCCAAGAAATGGGTAATATTTGAGGAGTACAGGCAGAAAGCATCTGAAATAAAATATTAGAAATAAAGTAAGGCAGTGGTCAGTTTGGCTGTATGTGTCAAAAGCCTTAAGATGTTTAATTGCCATCCGACTACTAATCTGTCTCTGGGAATCTAAAGAAATAACCAGATATAAGCAAATACTTAAAAAAAAAGAATGTAAATTCACTGTTATTTAGAAGATTGGAAAAACTGGGAATATGTTTAGCAGTAGGAGGGATAAATAAATTTTGGTACATCCTGATGATGTATATTATTTAACTATTTAAAATAGATCTTTGAAAAAATTAATGACATAGGAAAGTGCTTATGAATTTAAGGAAAAGGTCTCAACTATTAATATATATAATATGAAGTATGAAGAAAAATAAATGATTTTATTTAGGTAAAACGTAGGTCTGTGCATGAAAAAGAGATTGGATTGTAAGATAGTACATCAAAATGTCACAGTATCTAACTCGGGTTGGTGGGATTAGAAATAATTATTATAGGGGCTCCCCCGGTGGCACAGTGGTTAAGAATCTACCTGCCAATGCAGGGGACACGGGTTCGAGCCCTGGTCCGGGAAGATCCCACATACCACAGAGCAGCTAAGTCCGTGAGCCACAACTACGGAAGCCTGCGTGCCTAGAGCCCGTGCTCTGCAGCAAGAGAAGCCACCGCAATGAGAAGCCCGCTCGCCGCAACTAGAGAAAGCCCACGCTCAGCAACGAAGACCCAACGCGGCCATAAATAAATAAAAAGTAAATTTTTTAAAAGAGAGATAATTATTATATTCCTTTTATTTTTTAAGAAAAGCTTTTTTCATTTTTTTCCACAGTGGTCATATATTTTATAGTCAGGATAACATTTCATGATTTAAAAGTTCATTGGAAAAGCCTTTGTAGAAAAAAATCTGTCAGTGTTTGTTGGTGATTATGACATGGCTTAGAAAGCTCTGGTATAAATGTCCTATCACTGCATTTCTGGGCTAGGGTACCTGACTTTTATGGTACTTTTTTTTTTTGGTCACACCAAGGGATCTTAGTTTCCTGACCAGGGATCGAACTCAGGCCTCGGCTAACCCCGGTAGTAGTTAGCGCCATATCCAAACCACTTGACTGCCAGGGAGTTCCTGACTTTTGTTGACTTTTAAGAGCAGTATATTTTGTTTTATTTTGAGGAAAAAAAACTATATGTTAGAATTTTTTGTGTATTTCATATTAACTCATTAGAACTTCTAAAAAATGAGATTTGGAGTAGTGAGAAATCAGGAAATCTTGCTGCTTCTGTCACCCATGTTAAATAACAGATTTGATCATCGTCCAAAGGCAAGAGTGTAAAAGGTATAACCACATTTTATATTATTAATCTTTGTAAAAATTGTAGCCTATTCAGAAGGTCAGGTATCTTTTTAGTATGGTTAGGTCCCAAATTCTCATTAAGAAAACATTTTTATTTTTATAAGAAGTATAGTATATGGCCATTTTAAGAAACTCTTTTCTATTTTATTTTTTTTGTCTTGTTTTGTTTTTTGTGTTTTGTTTTGTTTTGTTTTGGCCCTGCCACGCGGCTTGAGGGATTTTAGTTCCCTGGCCAGGGATCGAACCCGCGACCGCTGCAGTGGAAGTCCGGAGTCTTAACCACTGGACTGCTGGGGAAGTCCCAAGAAACTTTAAAAAATATTCGTTAGAGACTGTAATTTTAAGTTCGTTAAACTTGTTCACTTTCAGAAGATGAGAAGACAAAATAATGAACACAGTTGATAAATACTAGAGAAATTAAAATAGAATCTTCCAAAAAATGTGCAAAATAGAATAGACCTTCAGTCATCCATGTCTAAAGGTTTTGAGGGGGATACAGATAGCAATGTGTGATTAAAGATACAACATTGTGATGTCTCTGATTGACTTTATACTTACATTATTTTATACTTACATTATTTCCAAATCACATGACGTGACATTTTTTTCTTATATTATTTTTAAGTCGGAGCACCATAACATGGTGTGGGAAGTGAAGACAAATCAGGTGCCTAATGCAGTACAGAAACTCCTGCTAGTAATGGACAAGAGAGCTTCAGGAATGAATGACTCATTGGAGTTGCTGCAGTGTAATGAAAATTTGCCATCCTCACCTGGATACAACTCTTGTGATGAGCACATGGAGCTTGGTAAACAAAATGAAGTTCTTAGGAATCTCACTGAGATTCAGATTAATTTTCATGTTTAGCTAGCTTTTCCACCTACCTTGAACTGATAAAAAGTATGTCAAGTTTTTGTACATCAGAAGTTTTCAGTGTTCTCTTATTATTGCTTGTGAAGTATTACTTAAAACCAACCTAACTTGGGGCTATTTATGGTTATCATAGAGACTCATTTACAGATTTTCAAACTAAACTGCCTTTGTGGATAAAGATGAGCCTTTGAACACCTTATGAAAACCTTGCTGTGTGGCTTTTCAAAAGATGTTACTTTTGAAATATCCATGTGAGCTCAGCAAATTATGCTGGCCACTATTCACGCCTGGTTTGTTGGTATGATGGGGAAATTACAGTGGACCCTTGAAATTTGAGGATCTGACATTTGTGATTATCACTACTGCTGAGCTACTCCAAAGATACGTGACCTGTAGAAGTGTGTAGGTTTGTTGAGGTATGACTCTGAATCGTATTGCTTTGAGCTCGCTGTTGGAGACAGTGAACAGGTGAAGAGTGATCTTGGCTTGCTGCCAACTTTTCATCTTGGCTTTGTTCCCATTTAATATGCATTTCTCTCTGATGTTCCCAAAAACCTGAGATGTGAGTGTCCTCATTTTATAAATGATGAAGTAAAGGAGGTTATATGCTGGAGTCTTCTTTGGAAATTTGGAGATCTTAAAGGTCTTGGGACATAACCTGTTTGAATGCTAAGAGATTGCTGGGCCCGAATATTCATTGAGGAGTGGTTACTATTGAGCAAGAAGCCCCAGTTCAATCAGGTAGTTGATTCCTCCATTGTCACATTTTAGGTTTCAGGAGGAAATCAGGAACCTAGGGCTCAGGGGGTCAAAAACTTGTACCACCCCTCATGACTTCAGTTTAAAAGTAGTTTCCGTAACTTGAAAGACAGAAATGAACCCTTTACAGTAAATAAAAGAACAGTGTTGGCAGTGAAGGAAGGGAAACGGCTCCACCACCATGAGAATTACAGAGTGGAATTGTCTTAAGTTGGTGTGATATTTTAGCTGCTCTGTGAAGGGGGGGATACCTTCTAGTCACTTTTATGAATAGGTGTCTTGAATCAGTACTTGTAAGACATTTCTGTTTTAGTGAGCTATTCTGGGATATTCCCCTGAATAGGAATTAGGAGTATGTACTTTTATAGTGACAGTTTAGGAGAACTCTCAAGACTGGAAGAGTTTTTTGACATATATTGAAGAGACCCAGTGGATCTGTAGAGTTTGTAGGTATGTGTTTCAAAGAGGGTTGTTTTGGTGGTGGTTTTTCTTTTTTAAGGCCTGCAAGATGCTTTTTCTCCCCTCCTTTCTTTTTCTTTAATTTTTAATTCAATTTTTTAGAATTCAGTCTATCTTACAGTGTTCATAGCCTTGGCATGTACATGAGTGGTCCTTGGGTACTATTTCTAGTTTTCTTTCTTGGGTAGCTGAGAGTCTGTCATGAACTACCTTTCGGGAACACACTTTCTGGAAAAAAATAAGTAATAAATATTACTGAGTTCAGACTTTCTCATTAAAAAGAAATAATTTAGCATAGATAAAGTCTAACAAGTAGTACCTGAAAATATATAATATGATCTAGGTTTCATCTTTGAAAATTGTTTTCATATATTGCAGTAATCTTGTTGAACAGGTTCAAGTGTGTGAACAATAAGTACATCTGTGTACCCATAAAACGCCTTTTTCCTCTAACATGTTAACATAAAAATGTCTCAGTGGTATATGGATTATTCCCAGGTGAGCTATAAAAAACTGGGGGAAAAAGTCAGAAAACACAAACAGAACAGTTGGTGAACAGTTGTGGTAGTTACATGGTTTGAGTAGTGAAGTCATTAATCCATTTACATTTGCTAGGTTTACTTTTCTGTCAGACTCTGTTGGCCCTTAAATGTATAAGATGTCATTTTTTTTTTTCAGTTGAAACTTGTTTTCATTCAAGAAAACATTTAGAATTTACACGTTTCCTCTCACAAAATTAATTAGCTAAATTTGAGGACCTGTCTTCCAGGTGTGATTGTAGAATTGTTCCCTGTATTAGTAATTTCCTTCTTATAATTTCGAGTGTGCTTATTTGCAGATGATCTTCCTGAACTTCAGGCTGTTCAGAGTGATCCTACTCAATCTGCCATATACCAGCTAAGTTCAGATGTGTCACATCAAGAATATCCAAGACCATCTTGGAACCAAAATACCTCAGAAATATCAGAAAACACTTACCGTGAAAATGAGGTGGATTGGCTAACAGAATTAGCAAATATCGCCACCAGTCCACAAAGTCCACTTATGCAGTGCTCATTTTACAACAGGTGGGAACATTGGCTGTATTTTAATTGAAAACTTTTATCATGACAAAATGCTTTTTTTTTCTAGAGTTAAAAGTAATCTTGACCATCTCATGAGTGGTTTATCAAAGTCATTAGAATTAAGCTCTTTGTCTTAAAATAATCAAAGAGCTGTTTCACCCAATGTCATGATTTCATATTTTGAGAATTAGATAAAAGTGATAAGAGAACAGCAGGGTCAAAAATATTTGTAAATGGTTTAAAGTCATCAAAAAAATACATCAGACCAAGAATACTTTTATTATATATTTCTACTTAGAGAGATGAAAATTATATATGTCTAAGGAATCATAATTAAAATAGACATATTTTAAACTTTTATCAACCTTGAGTTTGGTTCCTTTTGGTCTAGGTTTATTTTTTTCCACAGTATATGTGGCCTTATGTTATTTATGTTTGCTAATATTAAAATGTTGAACTTACAAAAGTAGACTCCCATTGGTAGAAACCACTGTTTCATATAACCAGACCAGAGTTTAAGAAAATGAATTAATGGTGCTATGAAATTATGGAAGCTTCCAACTAATATTCCTAGAGATACCTAAATGGATAATATTTTATTAATTATACCCCAAATCATAAAATTGGCTATGTAAAAAGACATAGATAAATATGATTGTTTGTAGGGAAGAGAAAAAAATACCCAGGTCTGCACTCATATGAGTGGGTAGACCAGAGTCCATAATAGGTGATGTAGGAATAACTGAATTTTGGTAGTGTTCCTAAGTTAGTATAGTTCTTTGCTAAAGAATAAACTTGTTAGGTGTGAAGCCCAGCAAGTTACGCTGTTTTTCTTCTATTCAGCAAGGTCATTGGTTTTGATTAGAGCAAATTCAATTTAATTAACTTCAGTTTAATCCATGAAGAGTTCCACAAGAATGAAAAGTTGCCTTTCAAAGTATTACTTCCTTTATTGTCCCAGTTTTCATTGTAATCTTAATAGTCAAAAAGTGAAAAATTGCTTTACAATTAAAAAAAAAACTCTGATTTTACTATTGGACTTTCTTTTTTCCCCGATTTTAGTTTAGAGAGAGTACTTTTCATTTTTCACAGTAAGCTCATGAGGATTAATAATTTAGTTCATGGAAAGTTGAGTAAAACCCTCAGAAGAAAATTAATGTTAAAAAAAAAAAAAGTAAAGGAGTAGCTCCCTAAAGATGTAGATTACTCTCTGCGGCATTTTCTACGCTTCCCTTCTTCCTAGGGAACAAGAGCAAGAGTCGCGCTCTGCTGTCTTGCCTGCCTTCTGACAGTCAGTGCTGTTCTCGTGACTTCTTGTAGAGTGTTAAACTGTGTTAGTTATTGAACTTGGGATGTCTGAAGTTGTAACTGTACAGTACCAAGGGCTTGAGGACAGGTAAAATTTGTATTATCCCTGCATAGATAGAGGGATGAAGAGACCATGGTGTTAGTGATTCAGGCACATGCAGCATATTAATTTTTACAGAACATTTAGGCCATATACATTTTAGAACATTACATTGTTATTTGTCTTTTAAATGGTTAAACAGAAGAACTGATGAACCCATTTTCTTTTACTAGTCACGAAGGCAGGAATGAGTTTAAGGAATTTTTAGCAGTTTGGCCATCCTCTTATACTTCATAAAGATGTAAATGTGTAATAAAAGGAAGAAAGTGGGCAAAGATGAAATATTTGTATTTTGAAATCCAAAGTTGATTGGAGAGTAAGCTAAAATGCATGGAAATTTGAGGGCTTTTTACTTAAGAAGTGTTATGAACGTGAAAGCAACGTACAGTTTTATATATGGATCCTCGTTTAAAAATTGATTTCTGCGAAGGTATAATAAAAAATGTTAAGTTTAAAAAAATGAGGGCTAATCAGATTTCTCAGAGAATAAGGGAAGAATTGGAAAGTAAGATGTCCCTCCTCTTTTTAGAAAGAGGATTAGTACAGATATATGTAAACATTTTTCTGTTAAGGACCAAATCCTTAGTTGGCATCTCAGAATTGTCCTGATTTGGGACAATTCAGATTTACTTCTTAGACTCTGAAATTTTCCTTTCTGCTGCTTTCCATACTCCCGAGTCAGTATACCTTACTGGTCGTCCTTTATGGGCTTGCTGCTGTTACCCCTCTTATATGTTTGTGGGGGAAGGATCTTAGTGTGTTCTGGGGAGCCCCGTGTACTCTGAAGGGAGCACTGCCTGGTAAAGAGACTTTTGACAGGAAAGCGGGGCAAGAGGTAACTTACTTTTTTAAGGTGATCCTGGTGCAGAAGTAGCTGGCTTTATGTGTAGATGCTTTGCAAATAGGCTGTTTTCTACTATAATAAGTTTAAACATTTTAGCTTCAGGTAGTTCACTGTATCTGCCCAGTGATACAGGTGGTTGGTAGATAAAGAGTTCCGTGTTGGTCACGTTGAGCTTGGAGGGCCGAGATTTGGTGACCACATCACAGTAGGAGAGAGAAAGGGATCGGGAGCCCTGCATAAGGGGGTATCATCCTTCATGAATGAAACTGCACACTTGTATGTGCTTAGTGATATAAAAATGAGTGAATGAGTAGATGAAACAGTAGTTTGGAATTTAAAGTATATTATCTAATCTGAAAAAAACAGTGTTTAAAATGTGTGAAGGGGGTTTGGGTAAGATGTTAAGGAACAACATACTATAGACGAAACCCTGATGTCTTTATTAAGTGTTTCCCAGAGGTGTCTTATATGTAATAACATTGGTGTTATGAAGTTCACCAAAAGGAAAGCTTTACTTTAAGGACCTTTGCTTTGTGGTTAAAACAGTTTCTTTATTTTAGATCATCTCCTGTACACATCATAGCTACTAGCAAAAGTTTACATTCCTATGCGCGCCCTCCACCGGTGTCCTCTTCTAAGGGTGGGCCAGCCTTCGCTCATCACCACTGGAAGGAGCAAACACCAGTCAGACATGAAAGGGTAAGTTTATTCATGAGGTTAAACTTTATGAAATCTGTACAGCAGCTGAAAAACATGAACTTTCCCTCTCTAAGCAGTTCTTCTGAAGCACATGCAGATGGGAAATAGTCTCTCTCGCTGTTCTCCTGCTGATCTGGATTCAGTTATATGTACAGCTCTATTAACTGTTAGGAAAGTTTGTTACCAGTGGGAACATGCATTTAACTAAAACTTCCCAGAACTTCAGTTTTTGAAGGCGATTTTTCCCCCTAAGTTTAGAATGATTAAGTTATCCACTAATAAAGTCTCGGGACTTCCCTGGCCATCCAGTGGTTAAGACTGTGCTCCCAATGCAGGAAGCCTGGGTTCGATCTCTGGTCGGGGAGCTAGATCCGGCATGCCACAGCTAAGACCCGGCATAGCTAGCCAGCTAGCTAGGTAGCTAGGTAGGTAGGTAGCTAGGTAGGTAGGTAGCTAGGTAGGTAGGTAGGTAGATAGATAGATAGATAGTCTGAAGACACAGATTAACAAAATACATCTTACAAAAGAAAACCTAGAAAGTTTGTAATATTTTTTCCACAGGCAAGCAGTGAGTCAGAATCTGGTATTTTCTGCATGTCCTCCCTCTCGGATGATGACGACTTGGGGTGGTGCAATTCCTGGCCTTCGACTGCTTGGCACTGTTTTTTGAAAGGTAAAAAATGCTTGAATTCTTTACAGTTTATTTGTGTAGCAAGCACAGTAGTCACATATCTAATACTTGTTTTTTACTTAAACTGTAGGCACACGACTGTGTTTTCATAAGGGAAGCAATAAGGAATGGCAGGATGTGGAAGATTTTGCTAGAACTGAAGGCTGCGATAATGAGGAAGATCTCCAGATGGGCACTCACAAGGTTGATTTAAAATCCTTAAAACTTTTACAAGTCTTTCAGAAGGGAACATAGGTTTGTTATTAATCTGCAGGTGTATCCTCCCATTTGCTTCCATGTTTAAATGACATTTGACATTTTGGGAGGAGCTCCTGTGACTGTTGCTTAGCCCGATGGAGAGGAGAAGCGACTTTAGGTTTCACCTTTATAATGAAGCTTTCTTAGATGGAAACAAGAGTGTATTTCTTAGCACTTTTTACACATTTTATTTTGGGGAAAATTAAACTGGCATTAAACACAAAATGAATAAATAAACAAACCAAAGCCTTACCTTAGGTAATCTACAAAGTGGTTAATTCTCCTATGGATAAGTGAGAATTGATCGAGTTACATTTAAAATGACCCATTAAAATGCTGGTGTTTTCTAAGTCGATAAGCAAAGGCAGTAGTGGGCAGCAAGCAGTAGGATAAATGTTGGATGAAACCTTTATCTTTGAAATCTTCAATTTCTCCATCTCCATTGTGGGCAGAGAAATTGGGCATGTGAAGTGTGCTTGTGTAAAATTCCTGTTCTGCGCCTGCTGTCCCCTACTAGTGAGTCTCTTGAGAACAGCAGTCCTGACTTGGCGGCCTTCAGTCTCCCCTTCTTGCTGTAAGCATTACATAGTGAAGTTCACCGTAGTCCGACTTCAGCCTCTGCTGCTCTACTAAAATCGTCTCAAAGGTTACTAGTTTTATTTTGATTGCTAAAGAGACTTCTGCTTGTTCTTTTTGACATTTCTGCAGTGTTTGACATAGTGGATTGTCTGCCCTTGATTTGCGTAGCATGGCAGTGCCCTGCTTCTCCTTCTGATGTCTTGTCTGGACTGGTGGCTTGTCTGCCCATGATGTTGAATGTTAATAAGGTTCTACCCTTCCTCACTCTCTTCACCACTTTTTCTCTGATGATAATGTCGACAGCAGCTCCTTGGTGGTCTGTGGAAACTGCTTTGGTTTTTCTTGGAGTCAGGAAAGCTGGGCTGTTTCTGGCTCTGCCAGCAGCTATTTGTATGACTGCCCTTGGGCAGTCTATCAACCGCACTGGGTATTGCCTTCCTGATCTGTAAGACGGAACTGGGATTAGCTTTAAATTCTTATAGCTCTAAGAATTAGAAGATTCTGTAATCTAGTTACTAGTATAGCCAACACTGGATTCACCTTTTTCTTCCCCATCCAGGTCCATTTTTCCCCTTTTAAGAGTATTACTACCCTTTCTTGATTGCCAGATTCAAGACCTTTCTTTCTTTCTTTTTTTTTTTTTTTTAATATTTATGTATTTATTTGGCTGTGTTGCAGCACGTGCTCTTCGTTGCATCGCGCGGGCTTCTCTCTAGTTGTGGCGTGTGGGCTCCAGAGCGCGCGGGCTTAGTTGCCCCGCAGCATGTGGGATCTTAGTTCCCTGACCAGGGATCGAACGTGTGTCCCCTGCATTGGAAGGCAGATTCATAACCACTGGACCACCAGGGAAGTCCTCAAAACCTTTTCTTGATTGCTTCATTCAAAACATGAATGAAGTTGACTGTTTCCTCTCTTTGTAATCAGTTGATCCATTCTGTTTCCTTAAAGATTTTTTACATTTATCCTTTTCTTTCATTAGTTACTTTGACTGGACACTGTAGCTAGCTGTTGGCATGTCTGTCTCCTTTGTTTTTCTGTGAATTTAAGGGTAGGGATCATGTGTTTTCAGAGGCTAGCACCTGGCATGTACTAAGTGCTCAATAAATATTGATTGAATTTAAATTCAGCCCGGTTCTACCACCACTGCACTTGTCAGTTCAAGACTGTAATGGGGTTCTCTCGTTATATCTTCAAATAAATTGAATACTAGAGGTACCTTTTATCTGTAGTCTTTGTCATCATCTTAAAATCAACAATTATATTAATAAAAATATTTTCATTGACTTCCCAGTGCCTTCTCAAAGGAAAGTTTAAGCATTTTGCCTGTCTTTAAGATCCCTTTACTTACTTACTAACTGGGCCCTCCTTTGCAGTCTTATTTGCCCCAACTCTGAACTAATCTTGTATTTTTAGCAGATACTCAGCACTCTCCAAAGAAGTTATTAGTCACAACTATTCCTGGTGTAAGGCAGGTTCTTGTACCTTTCTAAATTGCATTCTCCTTTTAGATTCCAGTTCAAATGGGAATTGAAAGCCCCCCCAATCTTTTTCTCTTGGAGTTAATATCTCCCTTTATTAAACTCCATTAGCATTATTTGTACTTGGATTGAAGCACTTATTCCAGTCAGCTTTATATTGTAGTAATATCTGCCTTTCTTCGCTACTGGGTCAAAAGCTCCTTAATGGGAAGGATCCTGTCTTGTTTATTTTTACCTTTTCCACAAAGTCTTACACATAATAGGAACTTCACTCCATGTTGAGTTGAACATTGCCAATTTATTTACTCTATGCATGTATTTCCAGGGCTATGGTTCTGATGGTCTAAAGTTGTTATCACATGAAGAAAGTATATCATTTGGCGAGTCTGTACTGAAGTTGACTTTTGATCCTGGTACAGTCGAAGATGGTTTACTTACTGTAGAGTGTAAACTGGACCACCCTTTCTATGTTAAAAATAAAGGTAGGGCTTCAATTTTCAATTTGTAGTAACTTTTTAAAGAAAGCTTCTTAAATCTATACTTATGTCTTGTGGCATAATTATTTGATGATTAAGAAAAAACGTTTTGAAGGGAAAACTTCTTTCAAACTAAATAAAACTACCATAGGAAGTGCCTTATAATAATACCTAATGATGTTTAAATGTCTTAGCAGTAGTCAGGTGGAGCTCTACTTCCTGTGGGTATGAACTTGTAGATTCATGTAGCATACTATAATAAGCTCTGTTGTTTTGATATAGTTTGGGGAATGGAGTATTCTGGTAATTGAATTTTGGTTGAGGCCAAATATGCTTTACACCTGAATCACATTAACACTGTCAAACGTAATGATTCAGAGACTATTTCATGGTCTCCATCATCATTTATCATTTACTGTCTTGTAGGTCAATGGAAGTGCTGATTGATAGAATTTGATATATTAGTAAAATGCTGAGTTAAACTAGTTTTGGAGTGCTTTTGCATTGTTTAAATAAAACACTTGGATTTGCTTTGTGGCAAAGATATATGACTTGTGTTACAAATCTATGACATACTTTTTTTAAGACTCAGAAGTGACATAGCTATCATATAATAAATAACTTGGATGCTTTCTGTCAATCTCCATCCTTTATGTAACAATAGTTTGCTTTAACTTTAGGTTGGTCATCATTTTATCCAAGCTTGACTGTGGTACAGCATGGCATTCCATGTTGTGAAATTCATGTTGGTGATGTATGTCTACCTCCTGGACACCCCGATGCCATTAATTTTGATGATTCAGGTGTTTTTGATACATTTAAAAGGTAATATTGAATTCCTTTTTTTCTCTCTCTGAAAAAAAAATTAAAGTTTACTCTTAATCTCCCTAATGATTGCTGTTTAGGAGGTTAAACCTTTAAAGATCTGAGAATTATAAAAGGACTACTTAGAAGAGGGATGTACAGTTGACCCTTGAACAACACAGGTGTTAGGGGCACTGACCCTCTACACAGTCGAAAATTCACATATAACTTACAGCCAGCCCTTTGTGTAGGCAGATTCAACCAACCGTGGACTGAGTAGTATTTACTATTGAAAAAAATCGATGTGTAAGTGGACCCATGCAGTTCAAACCCACAGTGTTCAAGGGTCAATTGTATATGAATAAATACTTGGTAATTAAAGTAAAATAATATAGTTCGAGTTTTTAAATTATTATTAATTTATTTTTGGCTGAGTTGGGTCTTCGTTGCTGCATGCGGACTTTCTCTCGTTGTGGCGAGCAGGGGCTACCCTTCCTTGTGGTGCATGGGCTTCTCGTGGTGGCTTCTCTTGTTGCGGAGCACGGGCTGTAGGTGCGTGGGCTCAGTAGTTGTGGCTTGCGGGCTCAGTAGTTGTGGCTTGTGGGCTCTAGAGCGCAGGCTCAGTAGTTGTGGCACGCAGGTTCAGTAGTTGTGGCTCGCAGGCTCTAGAGCGCAGGTTCAGTAGTAGTGGCGCATGGGGTTAGTTGCTCCTCGGCATGTGAGATCTTCCCAGACCAGGGCTCGAACCTGTGTCCCCTGCATTGGCAGGCAGATTCTTAACCACTGCACCACCAGGGAAGTCGCTCGAGGAGTTTTACGAAGAATGAAATAATGCCATTTGCAGCAACATGGATGGACCTAGAGATTATCATACTAAGTGGAGTGAGTCAGAGAAAGACAAATACCATATATCATCACTTATATGTGGAATCTAAAAAATGATGCAAATGAACTTATTTACAAAACAGAATTAGACTCACAGAAATAGAAAACAAACTTATAGTTACCTAAGGGGAAAGGGGGGGTAGGGAGGGATAAATTAGGAGTTTGGGATTAACAGATACTAATATATAAATTACTATATATATAATAAACAACAAGGTCCTGCTGTATAGTACAGGGTAGTATGTAATAAACTATAAAGGACAGGAATCTGAAAAAGAATATGTATATTAAATATATATATATAAGTGAATCGCTTTGCTGTATACCAGTAACTAACACAATATTGTAAATCAACTATACTTCAAAAAAAAAAAGACTTTTACATGGAGTCGTCATGTAGGAAAAGTGACTTCATAAAACATTTAAGATTAGGAAAATACCACATTATATGTCTAGGAATTAAATAGATCATCTTTGATAGTTAAGAAAAGAAAAATTTGCTAAATCTGGCCAGTTGTTTTGAACCAGACCATAAGTCTGTTAATTGTATCTTTCTTTTTCTTTAGTTAACTGTGTCTTTGTTTACTATTCATTTTGACCAAGGGCATTAGTTGCATGGATTAAAAATTGTAAAAACAGCAAAAAGTTGACATTTGGAAAGACTTAAAGAGGAAAGTGATTTTTCCTGAGATCACCCTATTAGTAAGTGGTATAATAGGACAAGGACCCATGTGTGCTGACATTCAAGAAAGTTGACCAACTGTCTGAATTTGTGCAGAACTTTTCTGGTTTTAGCACTGAAAGTCCTGCACCACTGGAAACCCTTCAGTCCTGGGAAAATGGGGGCAGTTGGTCACCCTCCTCCCAGAAGGAACCCAGAGAAAGTATATGATATCTGGGATTTTAAGACCCATTCTTTCTTCTTTTTGAAAAAAAGTTAGCTTTTATTTATTTAGTTTTGGCTGCGTTGGGTCTTTGTTGCTGTGCATGGGCATTCTCTAGTTGCAGCGAGCAGGGGCTACTCTTCATTGCGGTGCGCGGGCTTCTCATTGCAGTGGCTTCTCTTGTTGCGGAGCATGGGCTCTAGGCATGCAGCCTTCAGTAGTTGTAGCACACGGGCTCAGTAGTTGTAGCTCTCAGGCTCTAGAGCGCAGGCTCAGCAGTTGTGGCGTACGGGCTTAGTTGCTCCACGGCATGTGGGATCTTCCCGGACCAGGACTCAAACCCGTGTCCCCTGTATTGGCAGGCGGATTCTTAACCACTGCGCCCAGGGAAGCCCCAAGACCCATTCTTTAAGATAATTATCAAATCCATAGGCCTTTAAGTAGAGAATTTTCAAGAATTTCTGCTGGCCTGAAGATTTTAAATAAATTCAGTTTAATATAATAAAATAAAAGGTTAATATGTTTTTTTATTTTGAAAGCATAAGTGAGACTTTTTCTTTTTCTTTTTTTTTTTTTTTGCGGTACGCGGGCCTCTCACTGTTGTGGCCTCTCCCCGTTGCGGAGCGCAGGCTCAGTGGCCATGGCTCACGGGCCCAGCCGCTCCGCGGCATGTGGGATCTTCCCGGACCGGGGCACGAACCCGTGTCACCTGCATCGGCAGGCGGACTCTTAACCACTGTGCCACCAGGGAAGCCCAAGTGAGACTATTTTTAAAAAACATTTTAAAAAATCAACCAGCACAGGGCCTGGCACAGGCTATATGCTCAACAAACATCTGCAAGATTGGAATCTAAATGCTGTTTGACTCTCTTTTATACAGTCTTTTTTGAAAAACAAGACATTGTTAAGGTTCAGTACTCAGAGTATTCTTAGGATTTAGATCCGTGATACCTCTAATGTTTGGTGAGAGTGTAAATGGATAAAAAAATTTTGGAAGATACTTTCGCTTTATTGTCTACCAGTGAATATCGGCAATTCCATTACTCTGTATGTGCACCGTAGAGAAGTAAATGCTTGTAGACATGCACTAGGCGATGTGTAAAGTTCAAGCTGTGTTGCGTATGACGTGGAAACAGTATCAGTACTCATTCACTGGAGACTGAATGCATATAGTGTGATACAATCATACAGTAGAATTCTTTTTGTCAGTGGAAGTTGAATGAACCGTAGCCATACATTTTAAAACGTGGATCTTTAGAAATAATGTTAAGTAAAAATTAGTCTGGAATCAGATGTTCTTTGGAAATATATCTAATAAAATTATAAATCTAATTACATTTATATAATCTTTCTATAGTATGTAAAATACACATTATACAGTTACGCCAGGGATCCTCAAGGTCACCCCCAGGTTCAGTGATTTACTGGGAGGGCTCACAGGATTTAGTACTTAGTCATATGCACAGCTATGATATCTTACATTGAAAAGATATGAAGCAAAGTCGTGAACGGGAAAGACGTGGGCTTAAGTTGGGGGAAGCCAGGCTTCCAGTGAGTCCTCTCACAGTGGAGTCACACAGGACAAGCTTATTTTCCCCAGCAGTGAGCTACAACACGTGTGAATCATTATCTACCAGGAGGATTATTAGACACACAGCACCAGGGGTTTTATTGGGAGCTGGTTGCATAGGCTGCCTCTGCCTGGCATATACCAAAAGCTTCCAAAAGGAAAGCAGGTGTTTAGGGTAAACCGTATTTTTTGTACATACAGTTTAGGAACAGTGAGCCACTCTTATCAGTTGTGGGTATGATGGGAACCCTCCCAAAATCCAAGTTCCGGATGCTAGTCAAAGGGCCAGCCTGTAAGTAACCCTTTGAAAGGACAGCAAGCCTGCAACGTTAATTCATTTCTGCACAATGAAACATTATGTAACATGTTAATATAATTGCTATTTTAACATAATTAATGTCACTATAGTTTCTATCGTGTTTATGAATGAGTTTTATAATAAAATTGTTGGGAAATTAAGGGAATGATTAACAGTTCAGGAGAATGGTTACCTCTGGGGTGACAAACGTAGAACTTTAGTGATATTAGAAATACTGTTTCCTTGTTATTTTAAAATTTTTATTATACATATATTCTTTTTCATATTCTTTTCCATTATGGTTTATCACAGGATATTGAATATAGTTCCCTGTGCTGTACAGTAGGACCTTGTGTCTATCCATCCTGTGTATATCAGCAGTAGTTTGCATCTGCTCATCCCACACTGCCACTCACTCCCTCCCCCACTCTTCCTCTTCCCTGGCAACCACAGGTCTGTTCTCTGTGTCTTTGAGTCTGTTTCTGTTTCATAGTTCATTTGTGTCATATTTTATCTTATTTTAGTATTATTTTTGGCTGCATCACGTGGCTTGCAGGATCTTAGTTCCCCGATTAGGGATTGAACTCAGGCCCTTGGTAGTGAAATCACGGAGTCCTAACCACTGGACCACCAGGGAATTCCCTGTCGTATTTTAGATCATATGGTTGTCTTTTTGACTTACTTTGCTTAGTACGATAATCTCTAGGCCCATCCATGTTGCTGCAAATGCAAGCCTCAGTGTTTTAACTGTAAAATGGAGGTGGTAACACCTGCCTAACTCTACTCCTTGTTGTGAGGACTAGAAATTACAGTATCCAGCTGGCACACAGTAGGTGCTCTTGGGTCATGCTGGTCTAGGAAGGGCACTGGAGTAGATGTTAGCTTGCTGAGGACCAGAAGAAGTCAGCAATAAACTGATGGATGAGCTCTTAAACACAGTAGGTGGCTCTATTGTAGAAAGGAAGCTTCCAGGTGAGAGCTTGAGTTGAAGAAGCCCATTTGAGACATTGGGTATTGAGGCCAATCTTCTAGGCATCAGGCAGGTTTAGGACAGTCACTTTACCAATTTAGACTACTTCTGCAATAATAATTGATACCCCAGTTGAGGACCTGCTGTGTGCTCACCTCTGCCTTAAGTGTTTTCTACAGTCTGTTCTGCCAGCTGTGCAACACTGCATAGCAAATATTATCTTCATTTCAGAGCTAAGTAAACTGAGGCTAGAGGGTTACCTGCCCAAGCTCACACCATTAGTAAGTGGCAGAGACGGGCTATGAGCCCAATTAAAATTTTATATTATTACATTCTCCAGAGTGATTTATTTTACCCTCTCGGTCAGTTGTCAGTCATTTTGAGAGCCTAGAACGTGCTGGCACTGGGGATTGAAGATCAGTTAAGACATAGGCCTGCCTTTTTGCTTCCAGCCTAGAGAAGGGAATGGATGAGGCCGTGTGTACTGTGTGTAGGTGCTGGTTGGGAGGCAGTGTAGCCTGGTTAGCAACACGGCTCTGCAGCGGACTGCCTGGATTCACAGCCAGGCTCTGTGATAGCTTTGCTGCGGAAACTGGGGTAAGTTAATTTTTCCATGGTCTTCAAAACAAAGAAAAAAGCTGTAAAATGAGGATCATATCGAAGGGAGGGTTAAGTGAGTTAATATTTCTGATTCAGTTAATAGACACTATACTATTGTACTTTTTCTTTAAGAGCAATAGACAGTGACGGTGGAAAGGGGCATCCTGAGCTCGAGGAGTGGCATGTAGAAAAAAAGTGAGGTGAAATAAGGCACATTTTAGGAACAGATAGCAAAGAGAGCGAATGCTCAGTATAGCAAAAAATTAAGCTCTTTTAAAACGATGTTTTATGTAATATAATGCTGTAGTCATGTCAAAAATATGAATTCTGTGATTGAATATTTCAAGCTACTTTAAATTGTATCCATAATGGAAATGGATGACAGTTATATTTGTACCACTAGATGGTGGAGTTTTCAAATTTCAGTAGGCAATTAGCCTACCCTATTTTTAAATCTTCCAGTATTTCAAATTATAATTATTTTCCTGCAGTAGAAATTAATAATTTTGTGTCAGGTTCCTTTACAAATGCTTAAGTTTGCTATTTTTCTAAATTACATATGAGAGGGGCTTAAGATAGCAAAAATTATTTCTCTGGCATAATACTGATTGCTAAGCATTTATTGGATGATTTTGGAGTCATACTTGTAAGTACACTTATTTCATGTAATACCTTTAAAAAAGCAGATGTTGTGTGGTTGATAATTGGTAAAAGTCATTTACTGTGTGCAGTGAATGGCGTGCACCTCACTCAGGTAGCTCTCCGTATGTCAGAATCATTCATAATCGCACATTGCTTCACCTGTAGGCGGATACTATTCCTGTAGCTATTATCAACCTGTTGATGGACTGCCAGAATCTCTGTTTCAGGGAGAGAAAGAGGAGTTGGGGTGAAGTAAAAGATTTTCTGCTGAGATTACCAATGTAAGCAGTAGAAGTTAACAGAGTTGGAACAAGAGAATTCTCTTGACAGGTATATTTTTAGGCTGTGGTCTACGTTATTTCTAATTTTCAGATGATGTTTTCAATTAATCTGATGGTTATTCACCTTGAGGTTTGCCAACAGCAGTGCAGAGTACCATGGTACTTATGAGGAAACCTGGGGCTTTGGAGCTGGACAAACAGATCTGGGTTGAGAGCTAGTAGCTGTGAGGCCTTGGGTGAACAATACTTTTTTAGCTTGTTTCTTCATATAAAGAGAGGATAATGATAATCGCCACGCAAGCTTGTTGAGAAAAGGAGATGATACGGAAAGCTTATATACCTATATAAATTGAACATACCTAACAAAATGTGGCCTTTCCTGATCAATGTGAGGTTTTAAGTTATTAGGCTATGTTATAATATATGGATAGCCTTGAGGGGAGACTAATGCATGTATGACTGTATTTACATGTCATTGTAAACAGATGACCCAGGCTACTGTGCATTTAAAGTTTCTTTAGCTACATTTAACCACTTCTATCTGTCCTTACCCAACATCTTGTCTTCTGTAGTAGTTAGTCCTTAGGCCTGGTATATGCTTGCTACTCTGTTTTAATTTTGTAGTTTCAGGCTTCTAGAGGTCAACAAATTAGATTATCAAATTTGTCAAAAAATGAATCTAAAGTAGGAATGAGTTGTATGGGATCTGAAGAAGGTGTTTGCTATGAATAAAGTATGTGGATTGTAACAGATTCCTTTGAAGTGGGGAGGCTTGGAAGTCTTTTATAAAAACATTTTGTATTAAGATTAAAAAAATAAATTTAGTAAATGCATACATAAGCTTTCATCTTACAAGCAACTATCAATGGTGAAGTTGCTAAAGTAGTGTTGGTAACATTATTTAAGGTAAAATACATTGAAATTTCCAATCAGATCTTAAGGGTCTTTTTTTTTTAATCCTGTTTTCACAAATCAGATAACTATACTGAATTAAAATCCTGTTAATGAATTTATGTATTTATTTACAGCTATGACTTCACGCCTATGGATTCCTCTGCAGTCTATGTGTTAAGTAGTATGGCTCGTCAGCGTCGTGCATCTTTGTCTTGTGGAGGACCTGGAGGTCAAGACTTTGAAAGATCTGGATTCAGTAAAAACTGTGGCTCCCCGGGATCCTCACAGCTCTCTTCCAATTCCTTGTATGCTAAAGCTGTCAAAACCCACAGCTCAGGGACTGTGAGTGCCACTTCTCCTAACAAGTGCAAAAGACCAATGAATGCCTTCATGCTTTTTGCCAAAAAATACAGAGTTGAATATACTCAGATGTATCCAGGGAAAGATAACAGGTAAAAATAGTGATAATTCTGACTATAACAATTCAGTAACACTTCTGTGCAGTTCAGAGGAGCTGGGATAGTTAAGTTATTCAGTAGCTTTCATTATTGAATTCTGTTTTCCAGGTTGATTTTAAAGTAAAATGTTTAAGTGGAATTTTTAGGGTCATGTGTAACTGTTTTATAATACCTAGACAGATAATTAGGTTAGCTAAGAGGTAAGGATCTGCCTTCTAAAATAATATTAAATGTCACTTGCCTGTTAGATGACACAGTTCTAACAATTGACTGTTCCATCTTTACAGAAAAGACTAGCACCTTCTTGTGTCAGATCTCAAGGATGTACTTGTTTTACAACTGTGTCATGCTATGGGATGTGCAGGCATTGGCAGTTTGTAATGACTGCCAGATTTGTCAAAAGACTACGAGGGGTCCTCACTAGAGCCCAGGGATAAAAGTTAACAGTGCGAGTCCTTCCTACTGTTTGCTTGTGCCCATACCTCATCTCTTAGAATCCTCTACTGCTCGCTTCCTCTCAAACCAACCAAGTTCTCCACGAATTAAAATTATCTTCTCCATTCTTCCTAGTTCCCTTAATCCTTGATATTCTGAGAAAAGTCAAATGATTATGCACATAAAATAATTCAGCTTTGAATTCCGGTTTTAATGACTCATGATCTTTTTATATATACACACATATATATATATATATATATATATATATATGAGATATATTGACATATGACATATTAGTTTCAGGTGCACAACATAATGATTTACTATTTGTACATATTAAGAAATGATCACAACTAGTCTAATTAATATCCATCACCATACATAGTTAGGAATTTTTTTTCTTGTGATAGGAACTTTTAAGATCTATGTTCTTAGCAATTTTCAAATATACCACACAGGATTATTCACTGTACTCACCCTGCTGTACATTACAGCTCCATCACTTAAAACTGGAAGTTTGTACCTGTTGACCATCTTCACCCATCTTGCCCACCCCAAATACTTCCATTTTAAAAAGAGAAGCTTCTTATACCAAATACATCTGTGACTTGGAAATTGATACATATGTGAATACTTTTTAATCAATTTCACTAGTAAATGTGTCAACCATTATATAGTACCTTTAGCTCGGAGACTATAAAAACTGGTTTTTATTTTACTAAAAGAAGATGCAGTGCAATGTTGAATTGCATCGACTTACTGGATTAAAGTTCTTTTCAAGTAGAGCTTCTGTGGCGACTGTTCTAAAGCTCAGATGCCTGTTTTCTAGCTTCCATGTCAGCCATTGTGAAATCTTTTGTACGTACTTCATGCAGTCATTCCAGACCACCTGTTTCGTATGAGTGTCATGAAATTAAGGGTTAATGAGGGTTAAGCTCTTCACAAAAGGGAAACAGTCTGTGTCTGCCTGTTCTGGATGAGACCATTTTAGTAGTTTTGGGAACAAATTAATAAATAGGGAACAGCTTCAAATTTCTATCATGATGGGTCTTACCAGTTTGACTTTTTCCCCTTTGAGTTTATCCAGTTTTCTTAAGTAGTAAGTGTAACTGTGGCCTAAGGTTTATTTGGTGGTGTCTTTGGAGGTAAGTGGTAAGTGTGCATAGTTAGCGCCACCACATTTTCACGGCGGTTGCATGAATGAAAAAAGGCTTATCGTGACTATTTGATGGGTTATGGGCATAAACAGAAAGTAAGAATACCTTTCAATACAAGGTGAATATGCTGCTGATACTAAACACTGTCTGCCTTAATAATCTTAAACATCTTTGGAAGACCGATGTACCCAATGGTAATTCAAACAAACCATTTCGTTGAAATATTTAACTTTTTTCTTCAAATCTAAGCTGTGTAAAATACCCAGTTTTTAGCCCTTTTAGATATTGGCCCTATTCTAGGAGGCTTTAATTGCCAAGATTACGATGAATGGACCATGACTTCAGATTTTACTGGAAATGAGTACAGTAGTCTTGACCTTTCTCCTTCTCTATGTTGGACGAGATTTTTGTCTTTCAACTTTCTACTTCTTCCTAAAGTAGCAGCACTTGACATGAGTTTTCTGAAAAATTCTTGCTTTCAACACTGTGTAAATGTTTCTTTTACAGAGCCATAAGTGTGATCCTTGGTGACAGGTGGAAGAAAATGAAGAATGAAGAGAGGAGAATGTATACATTAGAAGCAAAGGCTTTGGCTGAAGAACAAAAACGTTTAAATCCTGACTGTTGGAAAAGGAAAAGAACCAATTCAGTATGTTTCAACAAGTAGTTGCTTAAAGTGATCTTGACTTAACTCCAAAATTGTACTAGCGTATTGGAGCGGTTGTTAGAAGCTTTAAATGGGCGTTGATGCTGTTTCTCAGCCTTCTTATCTTTCAGAACCTAAATAATGTTTGCACACCATCATATAAGGCAGGCTGCCTTTCGTCATTAGTGCCATTTACTCTTGTAGCTTGGAAAGTAGGAATGTTTGCTAGAGATGCTAAAGTAGAAGACTCTGAAATGAGTATTTCTGGTTGGGTTGAAAGATGGGGCTTATTAGCTCATTACTATCACAGGAGAAGAATTTTCTGATTTGGGGTGGTATGTCTCAACAGCCTTTCTTTTCTTAATTGGTGATGGGCTGTGGAGGTGGGGACTTCTGACATTTGCACAGAATTTCTAGGTTAAAAATCTCAGCAAGGAGAAGAAATAGAAAGGCCCGGGAAGGCTAGTAAACAAGTTTGCACCATAATAATGCTGTATTGGATAGACCTGATTCTTAAAACTTTTCCATTACTAGACTAGCATCTTTTAAGTGTTTTCGATTAATTACAAGAAAACGTCACATGACTGATAGAACAGAATGAGCTCAATTTGAAATATCATTTAAAGACAAAGGGACAGCATCAGTACTTCGCAGCAGGAGGGCTGGCCAAGGATGTTCTAATTCATTCTCTGTATTTGTCTATTTCTGTATAGTAACATGTGGTTCTCATCTGTTTAAGAATTTCTTATAAAGAAGCAGTCAGCAGTCAGATTCCAGTATGAGGGTGACTGAACTAGATTTTTGAAGTTCTTTAGGATTCCATGTGGTAGGACTTGGCCTGGATCCCCTTTCCTGTCTGCTCATCCTAGTCGATCTCTCTTGTCTCAGCATTTTCATAAATTTTCTGGATGCTTGGACCATCAGGTATTATCAGACTTTAAAAAAATCACCACCTTTGAGAAAGTGATCTTTTTTTAATAGTATGGTTGTTAACATTATATTATCCATCTTAGCTTTCATTTGTAGAACTGCTGTGTATTTATGTGTAAACATTCACTGAGTTATTAATTTTATCTCCACAGGGCTCACAACAACATTAAACCAGGATGCTTATGTTCTTAAGTCTGTATTTGCATAAACATTGACTGTTGATGGAAAGACTTAAGAAGATCAAGGTCTCACCTTTTGTCCTGAATCCGTGTGACCGTAAGATACTGATAGCATTGAGTCTTGAAATGATTGATTTAATAATATGAGTGAGGATTTGCTTTCTCCATTAGAGCATTAAGTAAGCTAAAACTATCAACATTGTAAACCAAATTGCCTTATTTTCTTCCAAACTTCATATATGTCTATCAGGTAATATAGGCTTGAAAATTGATATCCTGTGGTGCTAAAGTACAGTAGAAAGAGAGGAGAAGTGTATACATGTTTTATTTTAAATTGTACAAAGGGGGAATTTAAAAATATGTAACTGCTGTTTATACATTGGCTCCTTACTGCTTATTAATCTGTATTGTATACATAATGGAGTGAAGCAGAAGCCGGGAGTTGGCCTTTCCTTGAGCAACCACCATATGGCTCAGCATCTGTGCCAAACACGGGGGCTCCTAGTCTGGCCAGTGCCAAGAGGTTGCCGGAACAGGGGGCAGGTGGATGGTGTCAGTGTCACAGCCTGAGAGCCACCTGCCACGGCTCCCGGAGCATGCTGAGTGGACGCGCCACGTGGCAGCACCCACCCCTTGCTCGATGGAGACAGCCCAGGCCAAGGTAAAGTTAGTGAATAGCATTGGGGTATAGTCACTGTAATGGTGCTGTTAACGGTTGACACCATTGTATTTTTAACTTTTGTGTCCTGTATCTCCTCAGCCACATATCTTAATATCGTATTTGTCATCGTATCTCTATGGTGGGGGCAGACTTTGCACTTATGCAGTGCAACACGTGCACTTTACTTTCCTCCAAACTGTCTACAGTGAGAGCAAACACAATGGCAATACAGCTGCTTATGCGCTGAGCTACAATCATGGCTTTTCATGTTACTTACCCAGTGGTGTTTCTGGTTAGGAATCACAGCTGTAAAATTGAATTTCAGTTCATTACACTTCTTCATGATGTTGCCCCTAAATTTTGCACACTATATTCTTGTATATTATTTCAAATAAAATGAAAAAATTGTTTATCTCTGACTTCCACTGATTGATCCTGACTGACCTTTACCAATGAGTCATCAGAATAACAGGTTCAGGAGATGGAAAATATTTTAGAAGTGGCTTATGGGATTTTAAACATTAAATTTAAAATAAAATGTTAATGACAGGGCAAGGGCAATAGAAAACTAAGGACCTAGATTACCTACTATTTATAAGAAATCTTGTAGAGTAAAAGTTATTTTTAACTTGGCATCTCTGTTACAAAGTTGAACAGCCCCGAAAGTCTGTTTTTAATAAAATGACACACAAGAGTGTAAAGACAGCCTTGCTCTATCTTTATTAAAGATACAGTTACACAACATTTAGCCCTACATCTTAGCTTTGGGATATGCCAGTGGTTCCCAAACTTTGTTGCATGTTGGAAACACTTCAGGATATATATATATTTTTAAATACTAATGCTTGGCTTCTACCCCCATACGTGTTAATAAGGGGTACAAATTGGGCATCAGGGTTTTTTAAAGCTTCTACCAGTGAGTCTAATATGCAGCCAAATATGGAAACCACTGGGCTACCTACTTATCCAGTGAGGAAGGATGCCAGCTGGGGAGAAGCAGTGTACTTACTAGAAGTTGGTCGAATCCCTTAAGCAGCAGCGGGGACTCTGTGATGGGAAAGAAGTTTTAGATAGCCTCACAGAAAAGCCTGAGAGGAGAGACAAGAGTTTGGTATCTTTCTGGAAAAAATCAGGTCCAGAGAGTTGGAAGGTGGTGATGATGAATCAGTTTTGACATTTTATGCTTCGTAAGGTAGAAGGGCTTCAGAGGTAAACAGGAAAGATCAACAGGAAATACAAAAAATTCAATTACATTCTTAAAATAGTAGATGGCAGCTGTCCTTTAGAGTATGTGTTAAATTGCCAACCTTGGATAGGTTAGCACAAAATGGACATTAAGAAATACTTCACATTATTACTGAAGAGCAGACATAGCTTTTTGAAGCAGTTGAACCATTATGGGATAAACTGGTGCAAATTCTTTGCCTTCTCTGCTTTTAACTGATTGAACATAAGCTTCCAGGGCACCCCTGAAAACCAAAAGAAAACAAGGATCAGAAGGTTATACAAATGAAATAAAAGAGCTCGGAGGATGCCAACACCTAAAAGCAGCCCATTTCTGGAACTGCTTTGCCCAGTCGACCAGCCCTCAAACACTTGTGGGTCGCGTTCCTGTGGTTAAGGTGCAGAGCTGTGCACGGTTTTCAGCCTGCGTTGCACTTAGTGGTCTCATCACCCAATCGGAGGCTCTCTGGCGCCTAAGATTCCCAGTTTCCCTTTCGTGGTCTTTCCTACTGAAGAGACTTCTGCGGAGCCAAGCGCAGCCTGTGTCGACGCGCTGAGCTCACGAGGGGGCGCCCTGCACTGTGCAGTGTGCACGGCACTGCCGGAGGCAGGGCCCTCACTCAGCACACACTGACACTGGCAGGGCTTTGTATTCCTGTTACCACAAGTAGGATAAATTGTTCTTAGGCTCCAACTGTTGGCCTGTTAGGCGACGAGAAGGCAGGCAGTCTGAATTTAGCCAAGAGTATGATAATGATGTTCTCATGAATTAGATCCGGGGCTCAGCAAACCAGCCCACAGGTCAAGTCCAGCCCTGTGCTTGTTCGTTTATGCATATTTTTCATTATTGGTCTATTTAAGTTCCAAGTAGAACAATTTTTTGTCATAGCCATGAAGTTTCACACTCTTGAGAGTAGAGCATTTCCATAAAGATGTAAGTTAATATCATAACTCGGCTCACATACTGTCTCAAGTCCCATCTAATGTGTAATTTTTCACTCTTATTTGCTCCCAAACACTGAAAATATGCATCCTCTGTCAGGCTTGGCCGTTATTTTCATTTCACTGCAGGGGATATACTTGCCAGGCGCGTGTCCAGCTCTGCTCACACCACAGCGCCCTGCAACCTCACTAGCCACTGTCATGGTTTCATATACAACTGAATCTCCAATCTCTCATTTCCAGCCCTGACCTCCCTCCCGATCTCTGTGTTCTGGACATCTTTATCTGATTCCTTCCAGGTCTCCCTGAAACTCACCTGTCAGAAACCTAGGGCTGTCCGAACCCATGGAACCTATAACACTGAGAGTGAGCCCCAGTGTAAGCTATGGACGCTGGGTGACCATGATGTCCATGTGGGCTTCCCAGCTGTAACAAATGGGGCCACTGTGGAGGAGGGGTGTTGATAATGGGGGCGGCTGTGCAGTGGGGGCAGGGGACATAGGGAAAAATCTGTGCCTTCTCAAATCTGCTGTGAACCTAAACCTGGTCTAAAAAATATCAAAGGAAAAGGAAAAAACAAACCTAGAATAAAAAAAACCCAGGCGAAGGGTAGCGTTCTGCCCCTTCCCCTATTTCAGCAAAGGACACCATCATCTCCCCAAGGTCTGTATCTAAAATTCTTTTAGTCCTACACCTGACCACCACTTTTAACTTACCCCACGTTACCACATCCGGTCCCTCCTCTCCCCTTCAGCTTCAGTCTCAACCCTGCCATCTAGTGCCCTAATTGCTGCTGTAGCCTCGTAGGTGGTGGTCACCCTGGTGCCATCAGCCCTGCACTAGAGGACCTGCCACGCTACAGCCAGAGACGGCCACCTGAGGTCCGTGACCTGCCATGCCCTCTCGCCATCGGGGCAGTGTCTCCACTCACAACCCCACCGAACACCAGCTTCATCAACAACCTCGCCCAACACTGTGCAACTGCTGGGTTCCAAACCGTTTGCTGTGCCCTAAAAAGACCCTCAAATCATTAGTTTCCGTTGTTCACGTTACCGACACAGGCAGAACAGCTCCATCCAGCTCACTGGTGACTCTCAGCCCAACCCTGAGAGACCTGGATGCTCGTGCAAATGCCACTCTGAAAGAAAGATGTCTCTGCCTAACAAGGTCGGGCTCCAAAAAGGGCCTGTTTCCCTCGACCACACTGGCTTGTCTCATTATTAGCAAGACATAGCTTCTTCATTGACCGTCCTTATCTTTGGAACGCCCCTCCCCGCTTTCTTCCTCGTAGAGCTTTTACACAGGACCAGCCCAAATGCCTTGTTTTTGATAAAGCCTTTCCTAACTCGAGGCAGCACAAAGCTGAATCCACCGTGGAGTCACATCAAGTGGAAAGGTCTGGGACTTCTGCACCAAGAGCGTGGCTTAGCCAGACCCCAGCATCTGGGGACGGATCCCTGAAGGCTGGCTTCAAGTGAAGTAATACTTTACTACTCATGCTAAAGTAATCAAACTAGAAACCAGCTCTGCGGGGGCCTGGCAGGCTCTTAGTTAAGAAGCACCACTGGGACATCAGGCTCTGCGCCGCCCCCCCCCACCCCCCGGCCCCGCACCGAACTAGCTGTGTGATCTGGGCTACATTTTGAGCCTATTTGCTCATCTGCAAAGTGGGAAGAATACCTACATGATTTAGTTTTGAGAGTTAAAGGATCGTACTGTGAAGAACCTGGCTCTCTTCCAAGTACATCTATGAACCTATGAAGCACTCAAATACGGTTTTCCCCACCGCGCTTCTGATGGCCTCAGATTCTCCATGTAAGGAGCAAGATGTTTACGCTTCTACCACGCATGACCACATTGCCGTGAAAGGATCTGTGTGTTGGTTAGTTTCCCTCTTAATATGTAACAACTCTGAGGCTTGGGGCTGTTTTCTGCATTTATGTAGCCCCAGGACCTAAGTGCTTGCCAAATGCAGGGTGAACGAATTAAAAAAGTGAATTAGATACAGGAAGACAGAGAACTGTAATGAAAAAGACAAAAGCAATGAAGAAAGGAAATAAAAGAGAAGCATGAGTGCAGGGATCCTCAAAAGTACAGGCAAGCAAAATGGAATTTAATGCCCTTAAAGAACAATGTCCTGTGAGATGCCTTATTCATGTCAGGGCTGAGCCTTAGATGAAGCTGTTTCTCTGTGAAAAAACTTGTTTCTTTTAGTAATGCTATTTAAGTTGCTATGGCATCCTGGGCAAACGCCCCACTCCCAACATGTAGTCCCTCCAGATTCACACAAGGTAGAGAAACCCCCAAGGGCTCCAACTGTCTTTGAGACAATGGTGTATATGTATCAGTCTAAGAAATTAATGCACTGAAATTCACAGAAACTGTAATTCTGCAATGAATGGGTTAGAGTCATTTTTATCTAATCAATGGACAAAAATCCACTTAGTTTTATCTGCTTTCAGAAGGATAAGATATTACATAAAACTAGACAATATGTGGAAGCAAGTTCAGAAATGAGTTTGGTTAGTGTTTTTGGTTTTCATCAAAAACACCATCAGAACTACGGAGAGAAAAAAGATTAAAGCTGCCCTCCCACGTAAAATCAGAGCAAGATTTTCAAGCAATTATTACTTCATTTGCTTGAGCAAAACATCAGCTTTCTTGGAAGTCGGGCCAAGCGTTATGTAAGAGTCTCAACTCTGGTTTGTATCCAAAATAGGAAGATTATTAAAGTTACCCTTATTGAAAAAAGAAATTAGTATAGGAATTGTGCAAACAATTTTTAGCAAAGGGGAGGGTTTGTGGTAACATGGCAACACTGCCCAATGTGATATAAACTAACCAAGTGGAGGATTTTATGGAACACACAAAATTGATTTTTGTCAGGCAGGACCTAGTACAGAGATACCTAAATGACTTAAAAAACTACCATGTGCCTTCGCAGGCCTTCCCCTGACTCCATCCTCCCCTGTGTCTCACCTCAGGCACCCAGTTCCCAGAACTGGAAGGGATCTCACACCATAGGAACACCTGAAAGATGTTCCTATGTGGAGACCAAACCCCCACCTCCAACAACAGGGATCCTGGGGTTCTGCAGAAGTGGAGCAGCTGAGGGAATGGTTCCCAGCCCGTGGGCCCTGGATGCCCGGAGGAGGGCAAGGGGTCCAAGGATGCACGGGGCACTGAGAACTGTGTGACGATTGTACAGGTGAAAAGTACCAATAAGCAAATAAAGTCTGTATATAGTTGTGAC